AGTTGGTTGTGAAGGACTGCATCAAATGCACCTTGAATGTCGAGTGTGACCATAGCCGCACAATTACCACTTCTCATGGCTGCCTCAGCATCATGGATTACACAGGATGCAAGGTCGACTGCAGATCTTCCTTGTACGGAGCCGAATAATTGTGGGTGAACAACTTAGTGACTTATTGTTAGCCATGCCATTCCCTTTCCAACTAGACACTCAAGTCCTTTTCCTAAACTTGATAACAGCGAGATTGGTCGCCAACCCTTTGCAGTTGACAGATTTCTATCTGGCTTTGGCAGAAGCAAAACTTCTGCCACTCTGAAAGCCGTGGGAAAGTAGCCAATTTTCAGACAAGCCTGGTAAGGATCTTTAACAAGAGGTCCTAGATGGGAACAATAGGCTTTCAGTAACCGTGCTGTTAGTGTCCGCTCCCAGTGCCGTATTGTTGACAGAGACAGTGGCGCTTGTCACATCTTCCAGTTATATTTCCGTCTCCCATGGAATACGCTCCTCCTATGATGGTCTTAAAGCGGCGTTTTATTCAAACTGAACTCAGAGCTAGATACAAATGAAAATCTTAAAGTAACAAGCAGAGACATGACTGAAAGCCTCCTATTTATTTACAAGACTATGATCTCGTTCCCTCATTTCATACCATTCTCAAAATAGATCATGACCTGTCCTCTGACAAACACTAGCATCTGTCACGGATTCTAGGACAGGTGCTGGAGCAACTATGTGGTTGATGGTAGTAGATAATAATTCTAAGGAGAGAACTACTACAAGATCTATCTACACATGTATATATACAAAAGAGCCTCATGTTCTACGACGTCATTGCACTATCAATTGAGGAGGTTGTGTCCGATCTCGTATATTCCCAGCCGATTGCTTCTCACCGACAAGTGGTGCCGTGTTGAGCTGCACTGTTGAATCGGATGCTATGCAGATTCCGATGCTCCGATATTAGATCGATTGATCGTGCGCACCCTAAATCGGACCATGCCTATGTTAGCCAACATAGGCTACAGGAACCAGCCGGCTTACCAGCCGTCACAGCATCTCCGTCTATTTTAATTCGGCTTCATTTTAATGTTAGCAATTTTAGTAATTTAAATAGTTATGATGCATGTGACTTAGATGACTCAGGACTAGTGTTCGAGTCGTTCTGTCTGCAATCTAAATTTGTCATTTAAGAATAGATTTGCATGAACTGGGCCAAGGCATATACATGGGTCTAATGAGTTGTGGAGGGGTTCATGACATGTATGATGTTTAATATGGTTGGAAGAGTTCAAGCCTTATTTGTTAGGCAGCAGCCTAATGATAACCAGGTATGAGCCTGTGACACCCCCTGTCTTTTCTCCCAGGTAGAAATATTGTTCTTGCCACTAAGCCTAGCCAAGAGAATGTCTCGTAGCGCACTAGCTCGCTCTCGCGGGTCAGATTGCCACCGGTTTTTGTCAATCTGCAGAGGAGGGGGCTCAGTAGCTGGTCGAGGTTTGGCCCATCTTATGAGCTTGAATATCTATGCGTCAGTAGTCACTGCCTCCACTTGCCTCTTCCAGTACTCTCGCTTGGCTTTTCGAACCACGGCTCTAAAGCTCTTACGGGCCTCTTTTGCGAGGTCCGGGTTGTCTCTCGCTGCCTTATACTCTTGCCATTCTGTGCGACATTCATTGGTCCACCATGGCCCGGTTTTTCCGCTTTCAATAACTGGGACTTTCCCTGCAATCTTCAGCGCATCTCCTAGTACTTGTAGGAGATCATTTGTGAAATTTTCGATGTCCATGATACTGTCAAGAGGGCCTGGCTTCATCCATTGGCTAACGTATTGGCTTAATTCCTTCAAGTTGGCATTGCTAACATGAATGTTCCTTACAATTCTAGAGAGATCTGACCCTGTGGGATTTAGTACGGTACCCTTGATAGTCGAGTGATCCGAGGTACAGTGGTAGCGTCTAGAGACTGATGCTATAGCGGCCGTCTTGCCCCACATAAGATCCAGGACGTTCCCGTCCCTTTGCGTTGGCTCTCCAACAATGCTGACTAGGTCCATGTCGTGGGCTGTTGCCCATTCCATAATCTGGTTACCATTGCCGTACAGATTTGTTGTTTGTGGTTGCCAATGCTGTGACATAGAATTGAAATTGCCTCCAACAACCACTAGACCTCTAATTTCCCACCGGAGTAGGGGCTCCAAGGTTCCACTAGTGCCTGGGGCACGGTATACAATGACAAAGGTTAGGCTGCCCATCTTTACAAAACAGTAATCAGGTGTCGGGCCTGACAATGGTGGAAATAGTTGAGTTGCATGACTACCTTTGCGCGTGAAAGTAATAGCGCGGGGCCGGATGTCTGTTCCTCCGAATGGTATGTGGCTATTGTAGCCAGGGTGACTTTTTGTTATAAAACCCCCCTCTTTCTTTCTTGTCCATGGTTCCTGTACCATGACTACATGTGCACCGGCATCCCATGCCTGCTGCAATGCTATATCCATGTTTTCCCCACCTCTTCCGACATCCACTTGATGAAAGTGGATGGTGTTGTGTTTTTCTTTTAGTGATTTTGTTGAGGGGTTTTCAAACATTAACACAACATTGTTGAGTCCTAAGCAATGCCGGTTTCAACTGCCTTACCCTTCCTTTCTGAGTACGCTAGAGCAGCGTGATAATCACGATGTCCGCGTTCTCTCATGATATGAAGTTCTGCGGGGGTACGGGGCAGAATTATCCAGTTTTGTCATCATGGCCGGGCCATACAGCTACCCTCATTTGAGTGGTGAGGTCCCGCGCAATTTGAGCACTTTGACACCTTGGCCTGGCACTTTGATGTCTCGTGAGTTCCCCCACACTGTCCACATTGTTGGCTCCGGGTGCAGGAACGCGTGGTGTGGAAACCCCAGCAACATTGACATTGCTCAGTTGATTGTCGGCGTGAAAATTGGATTGCCAGTCCGCTCTTGTCAAAGAGACGAAACTTCACATTTGCTGGTTTTTGTTGGAAATGAACAATCCAGCTAGTTGAGTATTGGCCAAGTTTTATTTCTGTGGGGCTTGCCTGGATTGGTGTGGCGCCACATACTGCCTGGTACTCGTTCTTCACCATGTTGTTGGTGACTGGGATGTTACCTTTAAGCGTCCTGATGTACAATGTCACATGAGGTACGATCAATGATGTCCATTTGGACGCTTCCTCAATCACAGTGTTGTCTTCCCGTAGAGAAGGTGCAATGCTCATGATTGTATCTCTCAATGCGTCTGATGCGCATTCGAGAGCGATCCCTGACCTGACTGGGTACATAGACTTGATAGCAGAAGTCACTATTCCAGCCTTGTTGGTAATAAATTTCTTGGCCGTGACTGGTGATAAATTGTACCAGTGGTGATCTTTCCTCAATTGTAGGAACAAGCGCTTGTCTTCCTTTGAGGCTGTCTGGGGTTTTGGGTTGCCTGTTGGTGTAGGCCTTTGCTGAGCTTGTACGTTTGGCGGCGTCGGTAGCTTTGCCGCTTTGCGAGCTACTGTCATCCAGGGCGAGCTGGTGTCTTCAAGCTTTGAGGGTAGGGCGTGGCTGTGATCCTCAACAGCTGTGTTGTTCCTAGGCGCGACTGGTTTTGGAGTGCTTGCCATGGTGGGGGGCTTCTTACTTGGAAATTTAGATGCTTCTGCCTGATCTACTGCAAAAGCAGTTATAACAGGCGTTATCTCTTCCATCAGCGTCGCGACAAATGCTGCTGCTTGCTTCTCTCCTTTGCTCTTGGCCCAGGAGTCAGTTAGTTCAAGAAATTCCTGGACTATGTCCTGTCTTTCCTTTCTTTCTTGTTCTGCTTTTTGCATTGCGTTTACAATGCCTTGTAGGCTTGGGTGAAGTTGCCTTCCTGGATTGGAGGGTGTTGTCGATGACGATGTAATAGCTGGGGCCATTGCACCCGTTGGAGTTTCTTGCAGAATCGGTAATGGGTAATGCGATGTGGGATGGGCCGGAAGAAAAAATGTGATTGAGATCGGACACTGACAATGAGTCGTCGATTTTAGATATGCTTCTAAGTGCTTTCGACTTCGATTTGGATGCAATTCTTCTTGGCTATCCTAGATATGCAGAGCATACTGAGCGATTACATCGGCACCACTGGAAGGTGAAGAATTCGTCTTTGCCGGCCTGTACTAATAGTAGGATGTAGAGCTTTTTACTTAAGCTCAGGGCTTTAAATATTCAGCAACAACAACATACATGTCTCCTTTGGGAGGAATGTGTCACATGCACACTTCGTATGGTCCGTGCATCGCTCTAATTAGTGATATTCATGGGACTAGATTACTGTTGTTTGCATGTGGAATGATTGCTGCTAAGTTCTGGTTGTATGATCAGTCATCATATCTCTGATATAGGTAGTTTGTAAAATTAGATGATTAGAAACTATATACACTCAAACATTAAATACAAGCAACCAAGTCAACTAGTGTAGTTGTTACGGCGTGCTGTAGGGGAGATCGAGATCGCCGTTCGCCGAGAGTATGAAAAGGTCAAGTGGTGAATACTATAGAGGTGGGAAGTCGACGAAGTACCATGGCTAGAAGGAAGCGGGTTTGCGAAAGGAATACTGTAATAATATTATAAGATTGTGAAGCTGGAGAACTACTTTGTTGTAGCTCCAGCTTCCTTAAGTACAAATAACTATCTAACATAATTCAACTAAGACTGTTGTAATTTCCCATCATGACTCAAACTGTGACCTCAACTATATCAATTCCAGTTGGCGCATTATCTAGTCTCACCATATAAGTGCAAGTGTTGAAGGTGAGTCGAAAAACCTGTTCCGTGAATTTTATCCTCAGGCATTCTGCTTAGACTCTGGTTCCAGAATGTCTCGCCATGACAGTAGTGGTGAATTGATCGCTCCTGTTTATACCAACAGGTAACTCTGCATCTCATGTGGTGAAATTAAGTACATGTAGGAGTCAATGCTTGTAGACTTAATGGTCAGTGACATTTGCCACCTGGCTAGCTAATGTGATTTTCTAACAATAATTGCGGGTGATCTTGGGGAGCATTGCTGGTAATCTCTGCCTGTGCTTATTACAACGCCTCTTAAATGTTTGAGACCATCTACAACCACATAGTAAGGAGTCCTGTATCCTGCGTAAATGATTAGCATGGAAAGACGTTTTGATTCGAAGATTTGCCCACTCTTTCTAAATGATTCATCGTCGGTATGAAGCGCAGAGATATAGCAATAATTTTCCGACTCACATGTCCAGAGATTCATGGGTAATATATGCATCTGGTTTTGTGGCTTCCTCAGAAAATCAAGGGCTTTTTCGACGTATCTCCCTTCTATCTTTGTTCCGATACATGTGTAGTCTTCAATCATGGACTGAACCGCTGAAAGATATAGGAACGGTATGAGCCAATAAATAATCTGTTGCTTCATTTCAAGGATAGACTGGTGTACTTTTGGTCGGCAAGTTTAGCGGCTCCGGGTAAGTTAGATTTGTCCTTCTCAACAGACACTGCGTGGGGAAAGACGACCTGAGCGAATTCAGCCTAACAATAGAAGAAAACTCCAGCTACGAGTAGGGAAGGGTAGATGGTGGGAGAAATAGTGAGGAACTACTCCAATGAAAATGGGTATGTAAAGTGCTGTTATGCTTGACTTGGAGAGGATGAAGTTGTGTGTAAAGAGGCAAATACTTGTAGGAAATTCGGGATTGTGCAAAGAGTATTAAATCATGGGAGATGTTCCTCATGGCTCAAGTGTGGGAGAGGAGCATCCTTTTTGTTTTCATCATCTCAATCTGTGGGCTGTAATTGCTACACTGAACATTTGTTCATTTACCTCCTTCACGGGGCTTCGGTTAGACGTGTAAGTGGGATTAGAAGGTTTGGCAGGTTTTGGGATCAAAACTTGGCACAAGTCACTGATTATATATCGGGTTTCCAGGCGAAGCTTCAGCTCGAGAAAGCCGCGCGTGGTTTATTCTATGCTTTAAATATAATTAGCTCGCTTTGAGGCCTATAAACTCTCCCGTATATACAGGAGAAAACTTTCGATAGAAAGCCCCTTCTCATCCAAATTTTAATCTGCGGCCCCTCCATCAAACTATAGGAAGTGCAAATGGCCATCAGTCCGGAACAAGGATAGGCTAAGTAAGCTTTGGCAACCTCTCTTTTCTCTCACCTCTAAAAAAGAGATGCCTATGGTCTGAGGCTTGGCCCCGATAGTGCTGGAATAGGTAGCCGAGCTAGGACCAGGAGCTCTTTTCCCCAGCCTCTTGGGGCTCTCACGACTCCTTTTTTTAAGTAGGACACCAATATGATCTCTCCATCGTCTACTGGTTTGACCGTTGCTAATGATATACTTGCCGCCGGTAGATTGTTGTCCATTCTAGAGTTTACTGTTCTCTCCATCAGTTCATACTATGTTCTCTGAACATGCACTGTGTGTGACGCAAAGTTTCTGCCGCCGCCTCTACCAAGATATACGAGATTCGCTGCTACTAGAGCAAATTGGCGATTTCTTCGCTTAGTCCCTGGTCTTTTATGTGCCTGCTATCGAAGGGCGATGGTGTAAATGATAGCATACACCTGGTATCTTTGATTGAATAGTTGACAATAATCAGGGGGTTAGGATATACTTGAGTAGTTATGGCAGTAGTTTGTGTGAGGATGCGAATTTTAATTTGTAGGATTTAGTTATCTGATTTCGAGTTTGAATTAATTTGACGTTGCGCCAGTGCACAGCTCATGACTAATGTCACAACCCGGGCAGCTCTGTACCTGTAAAAATAGAATGAATCTCGGGCCACGTAGGACTGGAAAGAAATGAAATTGCTGATAAACTCGGTCGAAGAGACCTTGGCTCGTTCGAAAACTCTAGGACGATATATTGTGTGATGACCCCCGCCTCATCTGGACGGAAATCTCGCGAGCTGGCCAAGCAAATGCTGATAGACTGGTGGCACTCGTACCGCCATAAACACTACGCCGACCTCGAACTCGAATTGCAGCTCAAGAAACCGCCAGAGCTAGCGCTACCGAGAGCGGTCTACGCCCGCTTAATCGCCGCTCGCACCGGACATAGGGACTTTGCGGCATATCATCGCTGCTTCAACTACACTACCACCACACTTCACTGCGAGTGCGTGATGGGAAAACCAATGAGTCACCTTGTCCAGTGTCGAAAAGCACTGGCAACATGGCGGTTGAAAAGCGGAAAGAGAGGGGTGCCAGTTCTGGAAATGAAGCTCGAATCAAGGGGATGGCAGCTGTTCAAGGACTACGTCCAGGAGAGCCGGATATACGCGGAGCCTAGTCGGGGGATGGCAGGGATACCTGTGACTCGGAGGTGATGGATCAAAGGCCTAGGTGGTTTGGCATGGACAGAGGGATTGGATTCGAGGCTCAGGCGCGTGGTGGCTGAGGCGGAACAATGGAAGGGAGATTGTCAAAGTTTTTCTTTTGTAATGCAGGATTTTGCGTGGAAGTTTTCTTCTGTTTTGTTTTCAACTCTGGGCTGCTGTACTCGTCATGCTTTAACACATAGATACGTTTTGGCATGGTTCCGGTCATTTAGGTGGGACGAGGCATTTGTACTACACGGTAGTTAGCCTGATCCGGCCCGACCCCACTCGTGCTCAAGCTCCAGTTGGAGTGCGACGGTAGTTACTTCACCTAGCACGTTAATGAACAAGTAAACGCACGATTCAAGAAATTCGAAAATTCATTTTTTCCCTCTTTCCTCCCCTCTCGATCTTGTCGCATCTATCTTCGAAGTGTGATCGAGCTGAGGCATTTTCACCATGCCTCCATTTCGCAAAAAGCGTCACAACGCCAAGTTGGACAACACGAGAGTCCACCCGACGGCTCTCGAACAAGTACCTGGCCTCGTACAGTCTCCGAAATGCACTGAGATGAGCAAGGTCTCAATCAAAGGGAAGGAAAAAGCCCTCCCCGCCGTTACTGAGCCCGATACTGACATGATCGGGTCAGTCGAAATTATTGAGGAAATTCCTCAACCATCCTCCGTCCCTCACGGGATTTGAGAATCGTCAAAATTTCCTCCCACCGTGTCAAAACCGTCGGAGAACGCTGCACCCAAAGTAGTGCCATAATCTACGTCGCAGCCAAAAGCTGCCACTAAATCATACAGTCCTCTCGAGCTTTGACAGATTGTCGAAGCCGAACAACGAAGCGCCGCCGAAACAGCGGCAAATCTAGCATTCTGTTCTACCGCCATCTCTGGCGTCGAAGCAACCCTTCTCCCTTTGACCAACGGCTCAAACAGACAATTTGTAGACTTGATGAGAGTCTACTTACGCGCCGTCATTGCGCAATACATTGCCATGGGCCAGGCTACTACACCACCCATCCCCCCTCGCCCTGCGAACCCTCTTCCCAGGGCTCCTGACGCCAGGAGAACAACAACTCCCGCCGTCACCGTTCTGCCTGTCAAAAGCACCTGGGCTACAGTGGCCAGAAACGGACTGCGACAAAAAGCAGTCCCTACTCCAAATGCTGTGCCGCGACCTGCGGCCAAAGCCCAACAAAAAGAAAACCCCAAGGCGAAAGTCGACAAGCGACTGTTCCTTCGTCTTGAAAAGGACCACCCGTGGCGAAAACTCTCACCTTGTGCTGTACTGGAAAAATTACAGAAGGGACTGCAGTGCGCCGTTGGTTACGCCAGCTCTCTACACCGAGTTATAACCGGCTTTGCGATTCTAACAAGAGATGAAAATATCAGGGAAAGGCTTCTAGATGCCGCACCGAAGTTGCCGAATTTCAATGCCGAGCTCGATGAAGCCTCCAACCTTATAGCCTTTCGAATCCCGAATGTTCCCGCGACTATAAAAACTCTTGATGGTATTAGTACGGTCGATTCTGGGTGTGTCTTAACCGAGATATATAATCAAACTAGTAAGATGGCAACGTATATGCGTCCGCACGGGACATGCCGTCCTGATGCGCCTTACAGAAATTGGCAAGCCTTTTTTCTCCGGGACTCCGCCCCTCGTGCGGGCTTCCGCATTCTCAACTAGTCTGGAGCGGCTACAAAGGTCCAGCCTCGTCGACCAATTGAACAGTGAAAACGCTGTTTGGGCTTCCACGCCACCCATGGTTGCTCCCGTGCTCCAGCCTGCTAGAACTGCGGATCTAACATGCACTCGGAAGCCGAGTGCAAGGCCCTCACTAAGTGTTGCAACTGTGGGGGACCCCACCGGTCGGATTTCCGGTACTGCCAAGTCAGTCCCAGAAGGTCCGGACCGGTGACCAAAGAGCAGCTCGCATGGATTCGCCACCTCGAGCAAGAGAAGTCCACAAAGGTGGCTCGAGCTAGAGCTGCAGCCAAAAAGGCCGAAGAGGCGATCGTCACCGTGGCGAAGGATGTCGTAATGGCCGAGGCAACAGGTTTAGAGTGTTGGAATCTGAAGAAGAAGTTTAAGGATACAGCGACCTCGACGATATCCTTTCTGGGACATCTACTAACCAATAGTAGGAAACCGGCTGGATAAAAGGTGCCTGCTAACCCATCTTTTGCTCTCAGCGGAGTATGGGCTAATATGTCATTTGGAAGGTGTGACGGACGAGGGAATGTGTGAGGAGCGCATTGCTTGGGTCCAACATGGAGAAATCTTCTAGTTTTCGGAGTTGTTTAATTTCGTGATTTATGAGTAGGTGGTGTCTTCTGAGTTATAATTTACCTTCCAACTTTTCTGTAGCGGGTCTCGCGGTTGGAATGAGCTGGGCCTGTTGGCAGTGATCCCCGCCGGCTCCACCAGTCTTGTATCTATAGTGGACCTAGAGCTTTAGCTTAGGACTTTAAGATAATAATTATTAAGGAAATAATGAACCCTCAGTCATTGAGATTGTAGGGCACGTTGATTCAAGTAACTACCGAATTGAAGCTAAGTACAGAATTTTCAGTCACGTGTATATTAGCAACGTGTCCCACTTGATAGCCCCAATTATTCCAAATTCTAACAATAATAGTAATAATAAAAAAGACAAGCCTTTTACACCTACGCCATTCAACTACGAGCCACAGTAAGTCTTTTAATTAAGTAGATTGTTCCTTGTATATTTCCTTTCCCTTGCTACAAGTGTTATGTCTAAGATTGTGCGCAACCCTAAGTCACGGGATGTGGGTCCCGTATCGGTGAGGTCTGAGGTGGTTCAATCATTTGGATGGGGGCGAAATTTATTTCACTTAAATGCAGTCGACCAGATGCAGCCAAATCCACCCGTGCTCATGCTCCCATATGAGTGCGGAGGGTGCCAATTGCCTAGCACATGAATTTACGAACTAAACCGGCTGTTCCCCCTTCTGATATTCGATGTAGATGTGGCAAGTGTCCATCTAGCAGTACTTTTACATGTATTTTATAAGTAGTTCAAGTTAATCCTGTAAATTGCGAAATCTTCAAAGACTTTTCAGATGTATCAGAATTATAAAAGCTTACATAATCCTCCAGTGCGGCTGAAGTCTTGAGAACTTTCAAATATTCGCTATGGTGGATTTCTATATACATGTGAAGTTATGATAATTGGATTATTACATTAAATAACCTTCAAATTGGTATGACTTCTATTAGGCTACATCAGGATAGTGTCATCTATTTTGAGTGCTTCGCATATCGTCAAGATGGACGATGAGATTAACTAAGCCATTAACGGTTTGATTAAGATACATGAGGACAGGACCTTCAAGGAGTGTGAGATGGTTATTTTTGATGAATTAAATTTATTGTGAGAAGTGAAGTTTTGCTCCGTATGATTACATTTATAATACAACATGTCCAGGACTAGGTGGGACTTCCCCTGTGTCCCATTTCTTTGGAAGTGGGCCTAGTTCAAACTCTAGTGTGCCACCGTTCCGAATATCATCGTGACTTAGCCAGCTTCGATTCCACAATACGCCGTTTACATGCAAGCTCTGAACGTACCAGTTGGTAGGCAGTGGTTGATCTTTGGCTGGGATATCAAAGGCACCCGCGGGTGTTGTGCTGTTGTCCTTGCTAGCCGTTAGCGCTTGGTATGTACTACTATCAGATTGAGGTGAGTAGGCGGCTCGGCGGTCGTGGGAAGTAGTGCCTGCTGTGCTGTCGCTTGAGTTTTTAGTAGTAATTAGAAGGAATTTTCCGGAACCAACAGTCATGTTGATGTTGGTGAACCATGGCGAAGTTATCAGGTAGACTGGTTGTGTAACAACAGGGTACAATCCAATCATTTGCCACATCATCCAGCTATCAATTGCGCCACTATCAGAGTTTCCAGGTAGACCAGATTTACCCGCAGAGTAGTAAGTGTTTACTACTTGTCGAGAGCGAAGCACAGACTTATATTGTCTTCCGGGAAGGTAGTTGTAAAGAAGTGGAGTAGAAAAGGAAGGTTCATTGCCTGTTGTGCAATGAAGTCTCAGTCTATGAAAGGTATATTTATGACTTTGGGGTAGAATTTAAAAGATTTCTTGACGTACCAGGGTTGTAAAGAGTATCACCGACTCCGTTATTTCCACCAACACCGACACCGCTTTGTCTACCGCCTGGGATAAACATAGCGTCTAGACGAGACTCAGTCATATTTTCACCACCCATGAAAGAAATCAAGGTTTGCATGTCATGTGGGACAGTCCATGAGTATTCTGCTAAGTTAGATGTATACCTCTATCTCATATTGGGCAAGGACTTACCCCATGGTAACGCTTCATAAGTGTAGCTGATAGCCTCGCAAGCACTATCGCAGCCTGCAGGAGTATACTTGGGGTCTCTTGCACCATCGGCAAATAGTGGTGCCAGAAATCCAGTGTAATTTAAACTGTAGAGATCGTGTTGCCAGATACGTTGCCAACCCCTTTTGAAAAATCAGCATGGTTATTGTGTGAGAATATGAATTTTCATTTAGGGATTGTCTTACGCTGAACGTTTAAGGTACTTGTCGTAACTTGCTGGCTGAATGCCTTTTGCAACTTGTGCGACAGAAAAATCGTTCAAGGAATACTCGACGGTTCGACTAACGCTTCGAGAAAATCGGGGGGTTATCCATCCGAATTGCAGCCAGTCGGGAAGAGCGCCTCGGCCCTCTTTCACACTTGATGTTGGGTCTCCGGCATCATTTGTATTGTAAGGTGTCAATTCAGCATCAGTTTGCATAGCTGCGAAAGCATCCTCCCAGTTTATGCCACCATCTAGACCTTTAACATATGCGTCGGCTAATACATTGTCTGCATTACTTCCTCCTTGAACTTGTCCGTTGTAAAAACCAGAACGTCCATCGGGCATGAAGCGCTCATGTCTCCATATGTCGATAGTTGATCGTATGATACCGGCAGCGCGGTCAGGCATTATTAGTAACATCAAGCTATTTAGACATCTAAACGTGTCCCAGAATGTGTAATAGTCATCGTATACTGGTTCGTCAGTCTCCCAATGAGGGTTTTGGCCTGTTTTGTCTGTTGGCATAAGAGCTGTATGATATAATCCGGTATAGAACATCTCAAGTTGCGTCTGATTGGATAGATCCGTGGTGGTTATTTTACTCAAAACTTCATCGTTCCAAACGTTTTTAGCGTTTGTGACGACCTCCTTGAGTTCCCAGCCAGGAATTTCTTCTTCTTTGAACTGACAAGCTTTTTCCTCAGATATCCATGATATACCAACTTTTGACTTAACATTAACAGCGTCAAAACTGAAAAGTGCTCCGACTCTCCTGCCGAACAAGTAGTTTATGGGACCGCCGGATACAGATGACATATCACTGAATTCAGGTTGTGCATTGAGCTGTGAAGGGTTGTAAGGATCGGTGTAAATTCCAGAGAATATCTGCTTTTTCGATGGTACGCTATCAAATTCACCACAAAAATATACTTGATAGGCAGGTACTAAAAATCAATTAGTAATATTCTCAAGATTTGGTATTTTGTTACAAACTTTCGCTAAATGCCCCTTTGTAAATACCGTAACCTTGATAGTTCTTTCCGTTTTCTGATACGCTAATCTTACCATTGCCATAGAATTGCGATTGGTAACCACCTTCGGTTGTCGGAAGATAATGAGACACATCAACTAAAATATGACCATTGGATGGAAACGAGTACTGTAACATTCCAACGTTTCTGGTGGCTGATAGTTCGGTGACAATTCCATTTTGGAAGGTTGATTTGTAGTATCCTACAGATGCTTCGTCATCACCTCGGCGCTGGGCCATGTAAGTGAAGTTATCTAGGACATTGACATGATCGAGAGATGGCAGTGGCATTTGAGAGACCACGCCGTAAACAGGTCCACCTCCAGTGCCAGAAACATGCGTTAAAGAAAACCCTGTTACATTTCCATCAGGAGTGTATCCAGCGTTTGCTTCTGTGAACCACGTAAAACAGGTCGTATCCGGTCCTAGTTTTACCGAACCGAATGGCAGTACAGCTCCGGGAAAGATATTACCGCCATTGAATGCAGTTCCTGGTCGAGTGCCTTCAGTACCTAGAAACGGCTTCACGTATCGAGTCCAATCAGTCTGACCAACAGCCTGGGTGATACAAATGGAGGTGGTTATTAGGTAAGCTATATATTTAGTTATTGTGTGAGCAGTGGTGTCTCGACGATATGTAGATAAGAACATAGTTGAAAGAAAAATGTTTGTATAAAAGAGTGATATGATCCACGACCTTTCTATTGATATAGGGACATAGGATTGGAAGAATTTAGATTGATGGAGTTTTTGCAGTCCGGAGCGCGTTTGGTTTGTTTATTTACAATGACCGAGCATATATCTTTCTACCTAAAAGTGCATACTTATGGACAACAGCAGATAAATTTAGGTAGATGAAACGGCGGCCCCGGCGAACTCTGGTGACAACCGATATTTCCGGCTAATGTTGAAAATTGGTAATAAGAATCAACCGAATATTCGAATCGCTTAGCAGTTATCAAAGGATAGAGAAAAAGCATTTTGGTAAATTATAATAGTTAGTCACCGCGGAAATGGTCTCAAGCTGAAATCTGATGGGCCAGCAGCTTCCAGAAAGGGTTAATCATTAGTCATGGGTATCCTGGAGAACACACCCTAGTAACTTGCATAGGCGCGGGTGGATGCCAGTAGAGAATGATGATCTTAGTTCAGTCGATGTACTTGTGGATATGGGCACTAGCATGGAACGAAAAGTCGAAATGAAATAAGACTCGAAGATTGTAGATTGTGCATGGCAACCTTTGGGTTGTCTTAGCACTGCATGAATTAAATTAGCCATACAGACGAGCCTTGATGAGAAAGGGAGGTGGTAAATGTCTATTTGTTTTCTTATCGGGTACACACTCTTCTCCAGTCCCAAAATTACTTTCTGCACCGCAAGTGGTGGTAAGTTGGTCGCGTGTAGCATTAACTATCACGATATCTGCGAAGCGGTGATACGTCCCGACAAAGAGGCGCTCAAGTATAGTAGGCACTATCACTTGACAAGTAGTCACAGGTACAAGGTACCTAAACTTCAAGTCTAAGAAGTCTACATGACCTTAATGTATAAATCATTTTCTGGGTGAGTCAAGTGAGGAGGCGTATTACAAATAAGTATTGCATGAAAAGACAGCTTCAGCCAGATCGCTTTTTCGTATCAGGCTTCCGGGGAAAATGCAGCTAATCCATACTTTCCCAGAAAATATCCTTCTTTTGCAAGTCAATTTCTAAGTAATTGACAGATTATAATATAATTAAATTTAAGTCCCTACTGAGTCTAAGGCTGTAATGGACATATCGTGAGTATTTCTAAGGAAATAATGACCCCTCAGTCATTGGGGTTGTAAGTATATATGACGCTGAGCAGTTATTAAAACAAGCTTCCGCAGAAATAAAGTATCAAATCGACGATCATTTTTTCCTACACGCAACACTGGATGGAATGCAAGATGCAACATATTCTCTACTGGAGCCACACACGTGTAATGAAAGTTAGCGGATGGGTTTGTAGACCATTCTGCAGAATGGGGCCTGTACTGCATATCATACCGGGTTAGCTCAGGACACCAGATCGAGATTTCAGATCGAGTGAGATCAAATTGCACTACAAAATTGTGTGTTGTCCACGTCTTAATCCTAAGAAACAAAGTGATACAGTAAACCATAGCCTAAAATTTATTTTTAACTCTACATCCTTTTCCTCCGAGGCCTAGGGCGTGACATGTACACTACAAAGGGATAGGCATCACGCGTAGAGTTGGTAAATACATTTTTTAAATGGTTTTAGAGGGTCGGTAGGAGGAACAGACAGGTTAACGATTTAATGAGCCTGCGATCTCGAGGTTCGCGATGTAAATTTAAAATGGACGTGCGAGAGGTGGATGAGACTGCAATATTGGGATTGCCGAGAACCCGGACATTTTACTGTTTGGTTTTAGGTGATGCTTAGTAATTAATGATGGGGCCCGCACTTCTGACCTGCTGGAACTGGCAGAACGATGACTAAAGAGTAGATCCCAATGTCACTTTCGTTTTCTCTCCATGCCGCGGGGAAACCCCCAGGCTTCGCACGCAGTTTTGTCGACCGAAATTCACGGTAGAAAAGACCTACAAGTCCTGATCTACCTACAGGCTCTTGCAGTCACCATGTCCCCCTTGGAATAGGCTAATAGCGTTCACTTTCGCCCGGTAGACAATGAAAATAAATTGATAACTACCTACAAACTCTATAGCTCAGCAAACATACACAGTGGAATTGCCATCAGGGCACCCGCTCCAACGCTGTAAGTTGCGTGACGGAGGACTCAGGAACTGATTGTCCCACGTTGAAATCATCCCATGTTTCTTACACTATTATCGTGCATGAACTAGTTTTTCCGATCATCTGCCCTTATGAAGATGCATTATACCGGCAGGCCATGTCATGTTGCAACGCAAAATTGTACCTGCTTAGTACCGAGCACTCGTGCCTTGGCACAGAGTTGTAGCAACTGGACAGTGGACTGGTATCTACGACAGGAGCTAGAGGACACGCTTTCAAGAAAAAGAATTATAGACCTCGCTTGGTCGTGCCAAGACTTCTCGGCATGGTCTACGCACGGACGAGATCCGAGCGCTCCTCGCTATCCAGGACTGATCCATCTTAATCGTTAACGAAGATAATTCCGTACCCAAACATGCATGTATTCTACTATACCCCAGGCCGAAGATCGCCACCACCCACTGGTTGCTAGAAGCCAGCACAATTAAGTACCTGCCGATTTTGTTCCCTGAGAAATACCATCCAAGAATCTGCATGAGACACAAGGCGTTAATGCAGGTACTGAAAGCTTTCCAACCCCTATCACCCTTCCTATGAACTTGGTGAATAACCCCATGAAACCGCTAACAAGATCTAGGGTTGTCAGGCCGAACTCTTTATGTGGTATTATATTTTCAGTAATGGTTCGAACAGTGTTTGATTCTTCCCCAACAACCAGTCAAATATTCCACAAGGTACTGTTCTTGTATCTTGAAGTACATGAGATGACAAAAATGATTATTTGGTCTATTCCAGGATGGCACAATCGTGAACCGTGCCAAAGAGAAGCATGATGATGATGAGTGTGATTTAATGAATTCAAGTGGCGATCTCCCGTATTTATTTAGGGAATTGACCGGGTCGTGAGGAATCTGTCAAGAAGTAAGTAGGGGACTCCGTAAACAACCTCGCCTGAATTCCCGTCAAGTGTCAAGATGTCGGTGGTGATGGAGGAGAATAAATAATGTATCGAGGTTAATTGGCTGGCCAAGCTTACCTTAACAATTGGAATTATTATATGTTGGGTTTACAGCTATCAAACTACCCCTGTCAAGCACCAACATCAATTGTTTCACAACTTTATCATTAACGACAGTGACAGTATCTGACTCAGGATTCAAGATGTAGTGTGCTCTGCTTTGCACGAACCATGATGGCATGAACAAATTTCAGGTCAAATATAACTGATGCGCGGCCCAGCAATAGCCAATTAAGTCACGTATCGGACGAAGCATGGCCAAAATGGTCAACAACCTAGTAGTATAAGTCTTGCCGGCTGCAGGATACATACAACGCACAGACCCCATTCGATCTCGTACGACCTTGTCGCGCAAACTCTTCATTAAGTGATTTGACCACTCATCTAGGTTGATAAGTGGTAGAAGTCTATCTTGATGATGTGGATGTTACCCTTGACGCCGGCTAAATACTTTCTTTCCATCTAATCACACCCAATAAATTGTTTTCTCCACGGAGGTGACACCATAAATGTGTTGCCAAACACAATGTGTAAGCTGCTAAAGGGTGGCTTTCTTTTACTTGAATTTAAGCTCTACGTCTGGGCTGAGTTTAAAGCCAATGACAAGATAATTCGGATGGAACTCGAGAATTAAGTTTCTTAAAAGCCCGTGGGCCCGGAACGATTCCCCTGATCATTTATGTTATCAGGAGAGCCGAATCAAAACGCTTTACGGATAAACGTGATCAAAATGAATTCCTATTCGCAGTCAATGGAAAAAACAAGGAAAACCTTTGTCAATTTAAATTTTTTCCTAGAACTATTACGGAATATTACGTGGCTCTACAGATCAGCGATGCTCCCTAATCGATTAGGTCGATCAGTGTCAAAGAAATATGAGCATAACGTTGCTCGACGGTGCTCGTCATCCCGTGGCTTTGTTCTCTCAGGTTAATCAAAGTGTGGTCAATAGTATCTCACACTACCAAGGCACAGAATGAAACTTCTGAGGCAGATACTATCGCATATCTGCTTCGTAACTTTTGCCATCGCCTTTGAAGACTGTCACGACTGTCCGGATTTCTCAACTACAGTCGATCTAGGCTATGCTCGCTACAAGGGTGTGGAGATAGAAGCTGGTGTAAAGTACTGGCTTGGTGTACGATTCGCAGCCGCTCCGCTTGGGCACCTACGATGGCGAGCTCCCCGAGATCCTTTGGAGTGCGAGGCTCTCCAAGACGCAACGACGGTCAGTATGAACAATTTGTCAACTTTCCTTCATGCGACGCAGATTGCCGGCATAAGATAACGCAATTATCACGTGCTAACTATTTTGAAGTTTCAACCTGTCTGCATCGGCACGGCTCGCTTCGGAAACGCAGTTCAGGATGAAGACTGTCTATTTCTCAACATATTTGCTCCCTCAAACGCTTCATCAGAATCAAGACTACCGGTCTGGTTCTACATACCAGGCGGTGGCTACTCTGTTAACAGCGATGCCAACTACAATGCCACCGAGCTGATAAAACGATCGGGAGGTAACATCATTCTGATACAGACAAGCTACCGCGTATCTGCTTTTGGATTTCTAGCCAGCGAGGAGATACGTGAGAATGGAGACTTGAACGTCGGGTTCCTCGATCAAAGAAAGGCACTTGAGTGGGTCCAGAAATACGTCGGAAAGGCATGTGATTTGGTTGAAGATTTTATAACTCGCTAACAACTCTCTAGTTTGGAGGTAATCCCGATCATGTTGTCATTCACGGCGACTCTGCTGGTGCCGGGTCCGTTGCCCTACATATGACAGCCTACGGAGGTAGAGATAGTGGTCTATTTCACAGTGCCATAATGGAATCCGTCTTCTTTCCGACTCATCGTAAGGTCGCTGACTACGAATTTCAGTATCAGAACTTCATTACGCTCTCCAATTGCTCTATGGACACTGAACCCTTGTCATGCCTGCGGAAGACTCCCCTAAGTGTACTCCAGAAAGCCAACAGTCATTTCTTCCCATTCCCCAATGCCATATCGCCCCCATTCTTTCCTTATGCCCCTTGTGTTGATGGCAATATTTTCCCTGATCATCCCGCTAAACTTTATCTTGATGGAAAATTCGTCCAGGTGCCTATAATGATTGGAGATGACACAGACGAAGGCACTTCATTCGTTGATAATGCCGCGTCACCGTCCGAAGTGGCAACATTTATGAAAAATCAGTTCCCTAAGCTTTCAAACTCTAGTTTGGAAGACATTAACGTAATATATCCACTACTATCACCCATGCCGCTCCATGCTGCTTATTTTCCTTCCCTAGCGCGGGCTTATGGCGAGGCAACATTTACTTGTCCGGGTATATTAATCTCTCAAGCACTTTTCAACGAGGCCCCCAGGTCAAATTCAGCTCCAAGTATTTACAACTACAGATACAACGTCCAAGACAATTTTCTATTGTCCATTGGTCAAGGCGTTCCACATGTTTTTGAACTACAGGCTCTATTCAATACATTCGATCCTGCTACCTCTTCATACACGACTTATAACTCACCGATTGTCAATGTGATCCGAGATTTCTGGATCAATTTTGTAAGATGGAACAACCCTAATGGCTTAAACACCACAGAATCGAGCATTGATGGTTCTACAGGACCCTGGGGTGTTTGGGCTAATCGTGATGACTACAATCCAAAATTTAGACGCTTACTAATTCAAACTAATGCAACAAAAATGGAGGATGTCCCTGAGCTTCAACTTTTGAGATGTCAATTCTGGAAAGATATCATCTCCGAGACCGAAATATAATTCTTTTCGGCGTTTTAATCATTAAGAACTTACTCATATTGGATTTGGGAAAGCCCTCAATTCTGCAGGAAAAATGGGACCAAATTGTTTATAAACATATATGAACATATATGAACAATTCAGCACGGGAAGGAATAGGAATTTTTTCCGAAAATAGTCATTGGGAAAGTATCAAATAACTCGAAAGAAAATTAATTACATTGAATAGATGTGAGACAAATATTTGTGGATAACTTGAAGTATTATGCTAGAGCCCTTAATCTAGAAGGCCTTACACGATAATCTGATACCAAGAAAACTTTACAGCCAATTCAATTGTCCTTAAATTACCCGAGATTTTGTATGAATGTGCAAGTAGATATTTGTTATCTTTTCCAGGACCATGTACAATCCACAAGAGTTCACACGAAATTCTTCTAAGAAAAATTTCGGCCAATCTAAACAAAAATCTAATTGGTATACTACAGAGACGTAAGGAACTACAGCATAACTAATAATTCTTAATGACTCGCTTAAGCTACGTAATGTTGTCTTTCGCACAATCTTCTCTCAGATGAACTACTAAACAACAGTATCTTTTCCTCCAAGGACAGGCAAGTTCCCTCAGATTTATATGTAATTTAATTTGAATCATTATCATAGCCCACTATTCCAATGTTTATAAAAAGCCAAAATTCCCCTTAATTACCTACAATTTGTAATTTAGTTTATCATTCTTCAAATTATTTTTACAAAGTAAGGAATTTTACATGATCAATTAGCTCAATGGGATAAAGATTCTTGTTATTGTATGTCGAAAGCAATTTTTAAGTATCTATGATTGGAGATCAGAGACTAAGCACTTGCCCAAGGCGCCCTAGGAATCTTCAGCTCCCGATGTAGAGCCTGCATAGACTATTGCTATCGCTTAATTCTGTCGTCTAAAGACTCCATTTTCCTCTCTCTTTCCGCGTTAATGCGCTATCTTGGTGCAACACAGAGCCTTAGGCCCATTCCCTTCAAAATATCTGGTTGTAATCGAGATAGGACCAAAATGCGCGCGACTCTCATGAGGACGTTGAAAATTTAGATGAGAGGCAGGTTTGATGCTGTTTGCAAGGTGATTTCTAGATCCCTCCCTTATGCGGAGGAATCCCAAAGCTCTGTTATTTGAGGGCCGTCTTTTGCTGTCAACGCAAAGCCGATACTGAATCTTTGAACCATGGTGATATTTTGGCCTGGATACCGAGCACCCGTGATACCGAACATGTTACACCAGCCAGTCACGGCAGTCTATGGAGATTATTAATCCAGAGGCGGAGAAACAGTCGCTTGTGGATCTTCGCTCTTACTGCTGGAGGAGCTTGATTCTTTGTCCATGCATTCTCAGAGCTGTGGCCTAGGCTGCTTCGAGCTATCCAAGTGGTATTCTAGGCCGTAGCCTGGGATTTTGAAGTGATTTTCGCCCATCTCTCAAGAACTCGGCGCAGAGGGCTTGTTCGCGCTGGCGGGGGCAATTGATGATGTCGACCCTTGCAACGGGTTGTGCGGGATGGCCAATAGCGACTAGCAAGTAGAATTTGATACCATCTACAAAGTTCGATTTTCATCGGCCAACAACGCAGAGGGTGCTGTTTCTACACTGCTTGTGATATTCGAGTGTGTAGAGTGGCTAGGGATATGGCATATAGACATGGAGTTAGATTTGGACAGCTACGGCGGTCTGGCGTTATCGAAGCACTTATGCCTCATTAAGACAATTCGCTTAATCTCACACACTTGGATATCTGTAATCCGTAGACATTGGTCTGCTCTCTAGCAACGTTACCTCTTAGACCTAGAGATCTTGCTTGCCACATTCTGCGCGTCATAACAGAGTAGGTTGATAAATAGGCTGTGATTTACGCCGCTCATAGCTTTTCGGCCTCGAGTGAGTGAAGTTTCTGTTGTGACGAAATTGCAACTTTACCCTGATGAAGGCTTAACAAATCTATAATACACTTTTCCTATCTTACATACATCACTCGTGGGGGGGAACTATTCTCAACACCCGTCACAGGTGTCCCCTACGAACCTCTAGCTCTCACTGTAGAACCTGCAGAGCCGAGATTGAGTAACAAAGTCCTCACTGCGGTGAGCACCCCCAATCGCTCTCGCGGCCTGTAACGTCTTTATTCCTAGGCATATCCCCCTATCACCATTATCATGAAGCTAACCACGATCAGATCAGATGGTAGGTTCGAAGCTCTTCTCACCACCCACCCTTGATCATGGAGGAGAAGCCATCCGATGAGTTTCCGGAGTGTACTTAGCACCCGATACGGCGATGGTGGATTGGATATGGTCGGCCTCTAATTCTACGAAGAAGCGAGATATAGATGAATATGCGCACCGCAAGTGGTCCCGGTGTCTAGGCCTTTTTTTCATATTGCATTCAGCTATTTAGCTATGACTAGGTTGTCTAGGCCTCACCTGGCTGGAGCTGCAGGTATTTTGAGACTTTTTCATGCGCACACAGTTTCTATTCCTACCATTTTTTAGGCAGAAAGTTCCGTGGAACAGGTGGCCGAATTCCACGTTTAAATACTGAGCTCAATGGCTCTTATGTTTTTAAACCATTTACACCCTGTATGAGTCGAAGACTATCGTAGGATATGCACTCCAGCAGGATTGCATGATCTAATACCCGATACATACAAGGGTTTCCAATATTTAATTTCAAGTCTTCTGCTTGTGAATAGTGTGAATGCACTAGACTCTGCTGAATGGCTATTCATGAAGGGGAATTTATCAATGATCTGTCAAGTAACAAGAGAGGATAGAAGCACTGTACAAGGTGTGGCCTGGGTCAGAGAGGCGCCTAATGTGCTAGATAGTCTATGAGTCAAGTAGTACAATAAAAGCATCACATCATTCGTGGTCCACGAGTGATACAGCCCTGTAGAGCCAGTACTCGTATCTTAAACGGAGCGAGTGATCTGTCTTCCTGAAAACAACACCGCACGCAGATTCCCTGCCCAGCTAGTAACCACTGATAGTCAGGTAAGTATGTGAGCCTTATACTAATTATATTGTATTTTTATTTTATATTCTAGGTCTCAACAGTCCCGGCAGTAATTCAATTGTCACGGTGGTGAATGTGATTTTGGAACCCATCACAGCAAAATTTCGGGGAAATCATTTTGCTGGCTTGGTAGGCTAGTCTTGTACACCTTCTTTTTCATTCTTCGAGCTGAATGCCTCAAGAGTTTGCTCGACGGGTTTATTCGTCTCGGGACCATTGTTCACTGATCTTACATGCTCAGAGCTAGTCATCTCATTGTTAGAAAGATTCGTCCGCTTCTTCAGCGGAAAGGCTTTACTCGCGGAATCACTAGTTAATTTTTGAGCCGGTTTCATCGATTTTGGACCTATTTATGTCCAATCAATGCCGCCGGCAGTTGTTGACATCGGACACCCGCTATTTATCGAAGGCGTTTATGACGTTTTGTCCCAATTAGGCCATAGAAAGAGGTGATATACAACACCCATAAGCACTCCGATTTTTTGGAACTATAATTGATAGTACCAAAGATAAAGCTAGATTTGAGAAACTCCGCATGCCTTGAACAGGAGTAGAGATATCGCCGAATGGACAAGAACTTACGGAAGGGAAAAAGACAAGGGGAGACGGAAAGAAGCTAGAAAGATAGCGGCCTGTCAGGAGTAGAAGAATTCATGGACAAGCCAGAACAGGTAACAGCGCCCTGGCCGACCAGCATCAGTTGATCCAGAACATTTGAAAGCGGCTAACATATTTATTGATGCACAAACAGGCAGTACAAAAATGAACTTTAGAGATACACCCTTAAATATCCATCCTAGCCTGACCAGGGCTCAAAGCCATGTCGCCATTCAGCTAAGAAGCGGGCATATCGGGCTCAATACTTACCTGTGCAGAAGAAAAGTACCCGAAGTAGAAAAGCTAAGCTGTCAATGCGGATATCCGTCACAATACGTCAAACACATGGTGTTTGCTTGTCAGCAATGGGCAAATGGAAGAGGCGACTTTCTTCGAAAAGCTTAAGACAGGTCATTTGAAGCAATGATTGACAGCGCAGAAAATATGGCTAGAATCACATAGTGGATACTAAGCAAAGGGTGGATAAAACAGTTTCGACTTACAGGGGAAGTCGGGGTAGTAATTTCGGATATAATAAAACGATCTGGAAGGGGAGAGGACGGAATCCACACTGGCTGAACAGTGTACATTGCACTTCCTGAAGGTAAACTAAACAAATTGACAGGAATATAAACAGACAGGATCAGGGGGTTTTCACCAAATTGGTTTCCTCCTTCGTAAATAATGCAGATAGTCACCTGCATGGACCCATAGGGTGCCTGATCGGGTTAAATGAGTTCAAATTCAAACATTCAAAAGATAGATTTGCACAGCAGGTTCAACGGGAAGGATGGCTAGAGCACTTTTGACTGACTAGAGAAATCGAAGCTGTAGTTATGGAAAGGGGGAAAAACAAAGACAGGACAGGGACAGAGTCTACACTGGCAGTGGCGGTGTGCGAGCACCTCTTTACGGTCAACTGATTTGATTTGATTCGAATACATGTCATATCAGGCTTACGCCCTACAACAAACATGCGTGATACGGGTCTATGCTGCCTGGGCACACTATTACCTAAGCACATAGTATGCCTGTCAAATCTACACACAAAATATAAATAGCGAATTAATTTCAAGCAAAATAAGCGCCTTGCGTGGTTCCTCCTTCCTCATAACCCTCTGTCCTGATTTTATTACTTCGGCAGTACCTAATCCTCCCAGTGTTACGGAAAATTGATAATGGCGTGGAGATTAATCAGACAGCTAAGTGGGGCTTGAACACAACATTTACTTGCAGTGCCCAGTTAATCAACCTCTTCGAAGGCTTTAGAAGGGTAGCCATATCTTCGGATTTAGCCCTGATGTCGTTACAAAGTGAGCTCCTCACCCGGTGATTCTTTTGCAATTCTTGCCGGCAGTCA